GCTAGAGCATAGGTTTGAGGCCCGTGCCAGGCTCTACCTGATTTCTGCGTTTGGAAACGAATGTTGTGAATCAGGGGTTGTTTTCTAATGAAATGGCAAAATTCTTAAGTTGTATTGTGTTGTCTAATTCTTTTTTTTTTTTTTTTGCATTTTACGGATTCCCCCAATCTCCCGCACGCCCAAACTCTTTACCATATTAATAATATTATTATTATTATTATTATTAAAAAAATTTTTTTTATTATTATTTAAACATGTTTTAATTAATACAAAGAAATGATAAAAAGTGATACATTTCTTAATTAATGGACATAATTTTCGGCATGTCATGGGCTCTGTATATGAGAATAAATGTTAAAAAAAGCCAGATAACGAATAAGTGTATGTACCCTGCTGAAATACATCAACGAATTATTAAATGTACGTTTTCAAATCTTTCATAATTTGTGACATTAATGTGACTATAGTGCCAAAATATGTGTTAGAACTAGGCCTAGCCTATAACACTCAACAATAAACCACCTTTTCAATAGTTTTATTTTTATAGCATAATGCACACTTAAATGTAATCTAAACATTCCAAGTTAATATCCTACTTTTTGTAAGATTTCTAGGCGTTTTTCATGTCGCAGTTTTAGCCTATTAATCTTGATTTCTCACAACTTATTTTGTTAAAGGTTTTTTTTTTTCATTTTTTTATGGCGTGAGTCAGAGCAAATTGTGATGCGAATAGAGTCTTATGAACGTGCAGCCTTGTTCAGAGGACCAACGACCAAGGTCAGGATTTTTCGTTAAAAAACTTTAGCCTGTAGATTGAAATGAAAGCCCCTTAATACAACATTAAAAATTGTGTAATTTTAATGGTTTTTATAATGACTGTTTAATAACCATAACATGCAGTAAGAGCCTTTGTGTAAATGTAATTCTTTTTTTTTTTCTTTTTCTTTTTTGATGCATTAGGCTGCAGCCTACGACTATCCCACGTTTTGAAATTAACCCTCACTGTAAATTTTCTAATGATTTAAGGATGTTATAATGTTATATTATAATGTTGTTGTTTTATTTCATTGTTTGATCTCCATTTACAAAACAAAATATAATTTCAGTCAGTTTGCAAACTTTCCCTTTGCGCCACCTTGCAGTAGTTTCGTGAACAACTTCAACACGCGACTGACTTGCAGTTAACGCCGTGGCCCTGCGGCGGCAGTACATGCGGCGGTAGTAGTCATTTTGGTTGTCCACCTACTGCAGATAAACCACAGGCTGCTGACTTCAACACTCTGCTTGCCTCATTTCCACATTTCAAGCTCGTGTCTACTACAGCTACTCCCAAATCAGGTAACCAATTGGACCTTATCTACACACGCTACTGCTCAACTGACAACACTTTAGTTACACCGTTGCACACCTCAGACCACTTCCTCATCACTGTTAACCTCACACTGACTCCGGACACAACACACACTCCTCCGCAGGACCCTTATGGCGTAACCTACGCTCACTCTCTCCCACTCGCCTATCCTCTATGGTTTCATCCTCACTTCCTCCACCCTCTCAGTTTTCAGCACTGGCCACAAACACTGCTATGATCATAAATCATGTATTTCAGATGAACAATATTTTCATAAATCATGTATTTCAGATGAACATTATTTTCATAAATCATGTATTTCAGATGAACATAATTTGAATCTCTTCATAAATCATGTACACTGCTAAAAAAAAATTAAAGGATCACTTTGAAAACACATCAGGGGCCTCATTTATAAAATGTGCGTACACACAGATTTTATCTTAGAGTGTGTGTACGCTAAAATCCACGGCAACGTTCATATTTATAAAATCAGTCTTTGACGTGGAAAAGTACTTACCCGCCACGTCAGGGTCTGAGCAGACGTATGTACGTGTTTTTGTACGCACATTAGTTTTCTCTTAATCGCACTTATGCACTTTTGAGAAATGATCTTAGAACAAATTTAGGACGGTTTATACGCAACATTTTATAAATGAGGCCCCAGATCTCAATGGGGGAAAATATCATGCTGGATATCTATACTGATATGGACTGGGTAATGTGTTCGTAACGAAAGGATGCCACATCGTTTAATGGAAATGAAAATTATCAACCAACAGAAGGCTGAATTTAAAGACACCCCGAAAATCAAAGTGAAAAAAATGATGCAGCAGGCATCTTTCAGCAGGCATTTTGCTGAAATTTCATTGCAGCAACTCAAAATGGTACTCAGTAGTTTGTATGGCCCCCACGTGCTTGTATGCATGCCTGACAATGTCGGGGCATGTTCCTAATGAGATGACGGATGGTGTCCAGGGGTATTTCCTCCCAGATCTGGACCAGGCATCACTGAGCTCCTGGACAGTCTGAGATGCAACCTGGTGGCGTCGGATGGACCGAAACATAATGTCCCAGAGGTGTTCTATTGGATTTAGGTCAGGCGAGCGTGGGGACATTCAATGGTATCAATTCCTTCATCCTTCAGGAACTGCCTGCATACTCTTGCCACATGAGGCCAAGCATTGTTGTGCACCAGGAGGAACCCAGGACCCACTGCACCAGCGTAGGGTCTGACAATGGGTTCAAGGATTTCATCTCGATACCTAATGGCAGTCAGGTTGCCATTGTCCAGCCTGTAGAGGTCTGTGTGTCCCTCCATGGATATGCCTCCCCAGACCATCACTGACCCACCACCAAACCGGTCATGCTGAACGATGTTACATGCAGCATAATGTTCTCCACGGCTTCTCCAGACCCTTTCACGTCTGTCACATGTGCTCAGGGTGAACCTGCTTTCATCTGTGAAAAGCACAGGGCACCAGTGGTGGACCTGCCAATTCTGGTGTTCAATGGCAAATGCCAATCAAGCTCCACGGTGCCGGGCAGTGAGAACAGGGCCCACTAGAGGACGCCAGGCCCTCAGGCCATCCTCATGAAGTCTGTTTCTGATTGTTTGTTCAGAGACTTCTTCTGGAGGTCATTCTGTAGGGTTCTGGCAGTGCTTATCCTGTTCCTGCACAAAGGAGCAGATACTGGTCCTGCTGTTGGGTTAGGGACCTTCTATGGCCCTGTCCAGCTCTCCTTGCGTAACTGCCTGTCTCCTGGAATCTCCTCCATGCTCTTGAGACTGTGCTGGGTCTCCAGCAAACCTTCTGGCAATGGCACGTATTGATGTGCCATCCTGGAGGAGTTGGACTGCCTGCAACCTCTGTAGGGTCCAGGGGCCTCATTTATAAAATGTTGTGCAGAAACCATCCTAAATTTGATCTTACGATAATTTCTCAAATGTGCGTATGTGTGATTCCTAGAATGAAGGTACGAACAGAAAACGCACATACGCGTCGCAAATGATCTTGAACTTGCGCGCAAATGATTGGTTTCAACTCTCTGCCTTGTAAACGACTCCTAATTAATGTCATTAACATGTAAAAGATCACCAGTCATCATCCAAATCCTTTAATTTAGAACAGCGAGCTGCAAGAACAACTTACATTTCCAAAAACCTGCAGTACTCGAACAAGAAAAAGTGCGTACATCTGCTCAGACCCTGACGTGACGCTAAGCACTTTTCCACGTCAAAGCCAGTTTTTACAAATATGAGTGATGGCTTGGATTTAAGCGTACACACACTCTAAGATCAAATCTGAGTGTACACACGCTTTATAAATGAGGCCACAGGTATCGTCTCATGCTACCAGTAGTGACACTGACCCTAGCCAAATGCAAAACTAGTGAAAAACAGTCCGAAAAGATGAGCAGGGGAAAAAAATGTCAGTGGCCTCCACCTGTAAAACCATTCCTGTTTTGGGGGTAGTCTCATTGTTGCCCATCTAGTGTACCTGTTGTTAATTAACACCAAAGCAGCTGAAACTGATTAATAACCCCCTCTGCTACTTAACTGACCAGATCAATATCCCATGAGTTTAATTGACACAACTAGATGAGCCCCAGAGACAGATCCCCAGTGAAGACCTTGTCTCCTAGACGGCCACCGGAACCAGTTAAGTCCTCTGCACAATCTGACTTTGCTGCAGCCTAGAATTAAACTGCTGATTCGTCTGGCCAGAGGAGAACTTAATACTGTAAAGCTGCATCGACACAATCTGCATTGTAAAAAGCGCTATATAAATAATGGTGACATGACATTGTTTTAATTGCAATTATATACAGAATGAATGGTATTTTATTATAAAGTGTGTTTTAAAAAATAAAATTAAATCACAGAATTTTTGCTAATATTATTTACTGTGTGGCTCCCTGTCTCATTGCCAGGTTGTTGATCCGGACTAAACCAGAGATTGTCAGATCCAGCTCAGTCCAGGCTGATGTTCTGCTTCCACCTCCATGTGTTTCTGGCCAACAACTTAAACTGCAGCCCATGCCAAGCGACCAGTAAAGCATTTCAACGATCAATGTCTGCATAACTTCCAAAGTGGAATTGAGTTCAGATGAACTGCTGACTCTCCCAGCAAATCATCAGTTTACCCACTGCAGTCATGCTTTCACACTTTTATAATTCACACATAAGTGGTATTAAGAATCCTCGAGTGGACGATATATTCTAGATATAGGAGTGATTTTGATTGAATTAATCTGATCAGCATTGTTATTATCCCTCACATATATACAACTACAGGCAAAGAGACATTTTGCACTGCAGACCGGTTATCCTCTTTCTGTGATGCAGACAAACACGCGAAGTAAAGCACAAGTTACCCATGGTCACAATTCACATTTAATCAGATCATTCTGGGAACATTTCTCTTTATATTTATTTTTCTGTAATATTTACGGACATTATAATTATTATTTTTGGCAGTTCATAATTATACATTTCTCTATTCTGATTGATCTAACTTTTAGTTGTAATGCATTAAAATGTAATTCTACATATTAGGTAATTATGGCTAGTGAAGATATATTTTGATAAAACAGCTTGGTATTTACACACTGACACAATGTGCTCGTTAACACACATACTGAAATAATAGAAATAATAGTAGTGAATTCAGAACCGCAAGATTATGTAATTCTAAAATCTTATTTAGAAGAACAACATGAATTTTGGGACAGGTCCTTTAAAGCTTACATATACTAAAAATCCCTCTGCCACTTATACAAAATGTTTATATCCTATACCAGAAACAACACAAATGTTTATGAGATATTTTGTCTTCTCAGAACACAGGATTTGCAGTCTTCAGATTCCCAGCATGTCTTCAGTCACCTGACATCCCAAGAGAACGTTCCCATCACACACACACTGAGACAGGCCATCCGCTGAAACACACACACACAGACCTGCAAACTCAAATCACTGTAAAAGAACATGTAAAGCACTAACTCACAGAACATGTGGTGGTGAATATTGTCTCACGTTTCTGAGAGCGGATCCATGACGCCGCCTTCATGGCCACAAACTGCCACTCATCCTGCTGATCTGATTTAAACGCATATAACCAGATGAGAGCGAGGACGGTGGCCCACACTGACCCGTCCACCTGAAACACAAACACACCTCAACACACGCACTGAACCAATCATCAATCTGTCTGAGGATATGACATCTGTCCCACCTGTGCTGCTTTCTGATTGGTCACCTCGTCCTCGGTCTTCCCAAACACAGCAGCCAATGAGGCGTTGAGCTCCCAGCATCCAGCGGCCTTCTGAAGAGAGACCAGCTGGAGCAAAGGGTCCTTCTGGGGCTCAGCTTCTTCTGAAATACACATTTTAGATAGGAGTCATCTGGACACCCATAGCGGCATTATTTCTGATATGTTTATGATTAAAGCAGATAAATATACATTGTTAAGGGCAATTAATAGAAGGTAAGAAATGCTGTAAATAAAAAAAAAAATGGAATGGGAAAAATGACTGAAGGGATTAAAATCCAAAAGCAGCTCAGTAACTAATACATAATGTGGTGTCCCCATATAAAATCATCCTGTCTGATTAGGGCATTGTTTTCAGAATCTGAGCATGATTTGTTTGATTTACCCTCATATGACATGGAGTCACATTCAATCCTCGTGCTGGTCGATCGTCTGGCACATACTAAAAAAACAATCATTCAAAGAGTGACATTCATGAAAGGCAATTAGATTGAGCTTTTCTTGTTCTTTATTGAATGTTTATCAGTCAAGTGGTTTATATTTTTCTTACACATTAGAGAACCAAATGCCATTTGGGGAGCCATTGCTGAGAAAACAGAGAAAAGCCTGGGCTGTTAAAGGCATATGCTAAAAACTTAATTATTCAATGAGTGACAAAATAAAAGACATTTATATGAATAAAAATTTTTTTTTTTTAAATAAGACAAGATCAGTGAAGTGCTGATGTCTGTGTATTTCTCTTACTCCTTGCAGAACATTTCTTCCTTTTGGCAGCCCCCACTACTAAGAAAACAGAGAGAAAAGCAGATACTGTATAAGAATAAAAACGCTTTAAAAACACATATCTGACAGAATCACAAACAAAAAACAGTCACACCAAACTAGCTTTTGACAAAAACACTAATCTATCTCAAGTTGTCTAAAAATGGTAAAGTTGGTTGATTGACCATTCTTAATTTTTTTGAGTGATTAACTATATGTATTGGTATTGAAAAAACATACATTTTTTGTTTTTATTTTACCTGGTTTAACCACAGCAGCAATCTTGGTGTCATGACCATAGGCGGAGCGTGTGTAAGGTTGGCCACGGGGTCTTGGGGCAAAAATGACACTAAATTGGACAAAAATGCCCCTGCACAAACAAATTAAACCTATTACGTCTGTTACTAACAAAGTGTAAATTAATTAAAAGTGTCGACTGCGCATTAAATTAAGATCTGCTCATGTTGCACCGTATTTAATTTTAGGCAGTCATTTTTTTACAGTGTTGCGCATTATAACCAATCACACACGATTCTGTTGAGTGCAATGGCCAATCAGAGGCGTTCAGATGAGTCATCGCTGAAACTCATCAGCTTTGTTGAATGCGCGTACATTCGATGACTGAATTCTGCGAATTCTCTCATCATAAACAACAAAGCGCAGATGTACGTACAATGTAAGGGATTCATTTCACAGTGTAGACAGCTTCAGTGATTATAACAATAGTTTTTTTTTTTTTTTTTAGAGTGCGATAGATCAAAGTTAGTGATAATGTCATTTCTGTACATAATTTATTCGCCGTTTGAATAACCGTGGGAAGGAAACGTTATATAATTATAAATTTCTAATGTTTTAATTAAATTGTAATCACATTAAATACAAATTCAGTCCCATTAAACATTTTATTAGCCTACATGACACCCATGTCTGGTTCTTGCCTAAAAAGACAGGTTTATGATGTTTGTAGTTAATAGATTTGGCTGCTTTTAGCCTTACCCCTGGAGCTACGACCATCCTGAGTTGAGATATTGAGGTTTATGTAAACATCTGCATAACCAAACAGCACATAAAGGTAATCTCTCAACAAACAAATTTGGAAAATTAAAAATAGTCAAACAACCCCCACTGGGCCGCTTGAGATGGACTGAACTATGAAAACAAAGAATATCGTAGGTTATTTCTTACCGCACGATCCCATAGGAGCACCAAAAAATGCAGGCATCATATCTAATAAAGAATTTAATGTCACATGAAGATGATGTGAATACACCAAATTATTATGTATGTCTACCTACTATGTGACAGGAAAACTGATTATGAAATCATATTTGTAAACCAGCTGTGTCCAATCCTCATCCTGGAGCCCCAGTGTCCTGCAGACTTTAGTTCCAACCTGCTCCCCTTCACTTTCCTGAAGTTTCTAGTCGCCCTGAAGACCTTGTTCAGCAGATCCAGATGTGTTTAATTAGAACTGGAACTAAACTCTGCAGGACAGTGGCTCTCCAGGATCAGGATTGTTCTAAACAGACAATAAATCAGTGAATGTGCGCACGCACGCACGCACACACACACACACACACACACAAACGCTCACACACACTCTCTCTCACACACACACACACTCTCTCTCTCACACACACACACTCACACAAACACACACTCACACAAACACACACTCACTCACACTCACACAAACACTCTCACACACACAAACACACTCTCTCTCACACTCTCACACACTCTCACACACTCACACACACACACACTCACAAACACACACTCTCACACACACTCTCACACGCTCTCACACACACAAACACTCTCACACACACAAACACTCTCTCTCTCACACTCTCACACACTCTCACACACACACTCACACATACACAAACACTCTCACACACACAAACACTCTCTCTCTCACACTCTCACACACTCTCACACACACACTCACAGACAGAACTTACGTGCTACTGGCACTCTCCTCTGCAGCAGTGGTCCTTTCACAGTCTGTTTGCTGTCTTTATTAACGCCGATGAAGGCTGTATGAACGCTGCTCACTCCGGCATGAACGCTGAGCTCCACAATCCTTCTCCTGATGTTCTCTGCGTCTGCTCCTCCGGCTCGTTCCTCCAGCTCCAGAGAGCGGATCACATACCGGGCCGCCAGCCGGTGGATCGTCAGCCTGCAACAAACACAAACCTGTAAACACAGTCTTCTTCAGTGTCAGAGACGCGGCCCGGCGGCTAGTGAGCGTCTGATACAGTGTCACTTTTGGGTCATTTCATCCCACTCTTTTTTTGTATTGATAAATGTCACTCAATCTATTATTGTCCTATTAAAGCCAAAATAAGCAATAAAATGAATAGCAATAAAACTGTCTTAGTGAAACATACTGTTGTCCAGTGTGTGTTTGTTTAGCTTGGGACGGCTATGTTCAAAAGCATAATAACATCCTTTTTACACCACTAAATTTCATAAAAACAAAAGCATATAATTTCTCATTTTGAATTGAAGAAATCACAACCCCTCTGAGGCTCAAGAGCAATGTCCTATTCATGAACGAGCGGTTTCTGTCCAATGAACCGGATGAAACCTGTATATGAGAGTGTTCAAGTATGATAGTGAGTGTGTGTGTGAGTGAGTGTGTGTGTGTGTGTGTGTGTGTGTGTGTGTTACCCTGTGTCTTCCGTTGGTTTAAGAGTAAATTGAAGCTGGTTAGTCACCGGTTGATCTTTCAGCCTGTATTTCACCATTACAGCTCCTTCTGTCTGTCCTGAACTCTATGATGAGGAAGAAAGAGTAAGAGAAGGTAACACATTTGATGTTTAAGGATTTTACAGGGCTCTCAAACTATTTAAATTAAATTTGTGATTGCATGTATCATATAGTTTTTAAACTAAATGTGATGCAATGGCACCAGATGTGACAAAATCAATCACAAATCTCAGCCAATCAGAAGAGCGTGTGGGCAGAGCCTCCCTTCAAATTCACTGCTGTCTCTAGCTTGTGATTTCTTTTGTCATATGACGACCAATATATTTGTTCTTGTTCTCTTTATATATTATTTTTTAAATATCCTTCATGCTGTTATTATGGCTATATTAGTCACATACGATCATATGGCTTATAAAGTCAAATTAAAACCTTTTAACATTCTAAATCCCATAATCAGTACCTCAGATGATCATCCCACCAGGATTTCGTAGGACTTTTTTCTGATTTGTGTAGCCTAAAAAGACTGAATTTGTGGTGGCTTTTCTCAAAATTTGTAGCATTTTTTTGGTGTCATTTTGCAGGTAAAATATACCACAGACAACATTCTTCTAATATTTTGAACACATTCTGACCTCAAGAATACACATGCAAACTTTTTTCTTTTATGTTTTGTCTAAATGTTAAAAAAGGAATTTCTGACTAATATTTATTTCAGGCTTTACAGGGTTAATAAAAGCCCATTTCCACCGCAGGAACTTTCCCCAGGAACTAGGGACTTTGGGCGGTACTCGGTGTGTTTCCACCACAGGAACCAGGATCTAAATAAAGTTCTGGGTAAAAATGTGCCCCTCAGAAAGTCCCTGCTCACGAGGATGTACTTTTTCAAAGGTGCGGAACTTTCGGGGGCGGGACTTGGGCGCCGATGCTGATTGGTTGAGTTCATGAAATATTAAAATATTAAAAATATTAATGTTATTGTGTCATGAAATGTAGTTTTAAAAGTATTTCACGTGAGAATATAGTTGTTTAAAACTCAAATCCGCGGTTTATTTATAAAGACAGTATCTATTTGAAAATGTGCTTCGCTGATTTCGGAGACGTGAGCTCCAGGCGATCAGTGCTCATGTCTCTCACCTCGGCTAGTCCTTCTGACATTAGCCGCGGGCGAGCTGACTGATGTTATCAAGTACGCTGCTGTTTGCAGAATCACCGGACTTGCATCGTCCCGTCCCCAGGAGTTCACACTCCCGAGTCGAACAAGCGAAATCCAAACTACCAAGAACGCAAGTACGAAATTTGCGTACTTGGTATTGAGAAAAGGCCCTGGACTGGGAGGAGCAGTCGCGCGGTCCTATGTCACCAGACTATTTATTTGCCTCATCTTCACGGACCGCGATGGAAACGCAGACAGCAACAGGTCTCGAGGAAAAAAGTTCCTGGGACAAATTGTTCCATGTAATTTCGGTGGAAAAGTGGCTCAAGTTAGTTTTTTATAATATAACAGAAAGAAATGTAAATATAACAGTAGCCTAACTTTGAAAAATACACATTTACAAAGTAAACAAATGTTTCAAACATATTAAAGTACAAAAGAATGCAACTTTAAATAGGACTTTTGTTTGATAAACACTAAAATTTCAAAACGGACTTCCTTTCTTTTCTGTGACAAGCGAGTCAGAAACAGACAGTAGTGCAGCCTGCTGTGTTTACAGTGGTAAAACTGGAAACTGCTGTAACATGAGCGCCACCTGCTGTCAGACAGTGAATTTACATTTTCATTCAGCATCTGCTTCACTCATTCCGTCAGGCTGCTCCTCCATTTTTGCAGGAAATATGCAATTTAGAAAAATCCAAATATTGTGGAGCTTGCTTGATTTTGCTTTAAACTCTGCAATTGCAGAATCGTGAAACCCTGGAGCGACTGATTATTGCCAGTGGACATACATTTTTGTATTTTCTTCTTTCAGCTGCAATGTCACAAATAAATAGAAACAGAATCTCCTGACGCTTGTTATGTGTCGCTGTCACAGTTGGTTAGGACAAAACTCGGAAAAGATTCTTTCTTCATTTATTTAGGGCTGTCCCAGACTAAAGATTTTTCCAGTCGATTAATAAACTAATTTTACTTCTGCCTAGTGTTTTCCGAGTCAGTGTTGGCTCTGCAGTACAGTGACGCACCTTTCATACGGATTACATACTAAGAAAGTTTTGATTTCAATAAGTTTTAAGCTTTCTATAGATATATTTCTCATGTCTGTGAGGCAAGTAGCCTATACACAAGTTTCGCTTCATTTTTGTGACAGTTCACGGAGACCGAGACGGCAGAAAGCACATCCTGATTGTTTTCTTTGTTTTAAAGTAGTACAATGTTTTGTTGATATTGTGAGATATTTTGAATGATGTCTTACTCTTATCTGTAATACTCCTATATGTTTCTGCTGTTATGAGAAAAACAATGTAAGTGATCGCGCCAGTGCCTCCTTGCAGTAGCGAACTAACAGTTTCCACACTCTGCACTCGGATATAGCGCACATTTATCTAGCTTAACGGTAGAGCGAGCAGCTGTGTAAAGTTGCTATTATGTTAGGATGACCATACGTGCCATTTTTCCCGGACACGTCCTGGCCAGGATTTCTATATTGCCTAAAATATCCAGGTTTTGGCTTTGTTTGCGCTGCGCAGACCGAATGTTGTATGACATCAAGGTACAGTGAGAGCTATAGAGAGCAGACTTAACCTATATTTGAGGTCCATGAATGATTTTGGGTTTCCTGCCAGATACACTGCAATTTACTCAAGGACCAGCCGTTGGCAATCTTTTTCGGCATTCACACATGCGTGCAACTAGAAGTGAGCAGCCCCAGACTGACAGGCTTTCTCTGAGTGAATAATCTGCATTATAAAAAGAAAAATAAACCAACAACAAAGTATTTAAAGACGATTTACGATTACTTATTGCTGCCAAGTTATCAAGTCTTTGCTTGTTTACAGTGCTATATGGTTACAGTGTTATATGGAGCAGTTTGGTAGATAGCGGTCTGTCTAATTAGTTTGTCTAATGAAGTGCTTCAGTGACCAGTGTGTGAAAGTACACAGGTTACGCCGTAATTTAAACATGGCAAACTTTAATGGACAGTAAAACAAAGGCAGAATACAGTATAAAGGTCCTTGTACACTGAGTCTGACATTTTCGTATTTGTTTTTCATATTCATCATCCTAAAAATTTGTCACGCACAGAAACCTTGCACATCCAGTCCGATGCGTATTCATTAATCCGTTGCAAAACAATTCACAAAACAATACAAAATGGAGTCTTCAAGCAGTGAGGATGATTTTGTTGTCCTCCCTCTTCTTAAAAAGAGGAAAAGAAAGAGGAAATATTGGGTCCATCCAATCCTGAAGTATAGCGAGGATTATCACGAGCGATTCAAAGTTCACTTCAGGATGTCAGTGGCTCAGTTTGATGCTTTGCTAGTGATACTGGAGACACATATTAAAAAGAAGACCACCAATTTCTGTGAACTCAGTGTGCAAGGATCTTTGCAGTGCTTTGTGCTTCGAGACGAAGTATATCAACTTGTTAGATGCCATTCTGGATTTTGGCGTTCACTTGTGCGGTGGCTCAGAATAGTCAAAACACCTCCCTAAATGCTTGCTACGGATGCGAAAACACAGAAAATCGAACCCAATACGAATTTTTTTATGACGGATGAAAGTTTTGGAGGCAGTGTTTAAACGTGATTGACACAACATGAGGTCGTATTTATTTTTTAACGTGTGAAAATTTCGGACGAAAATGACCTTTCCTCCAGGCCGGCACAGTAACGTCATACTAACGCACGGCTAAACAAAGGCAGAGTAACGTAACTCAATTTGAGCATTCCTAAACAAAGTCAAAGAGCGGTAACTGCTGTTATACGGTGTTCTGTCTTTTGTTTCTTCTGGGCTTTTCGAGTTACTGTTAAGACAACCCATTATTTTCTTGAAAAAAACAACGAAATTGATTCAAGATACTTATCCGCATGATAAAAGGAGGTCTTGAATGTCCCAAAAAATATCAATAACTAATTTTCAACCGAAAACAAAGTTACAGCCTTTAGCCTTTGCACGGCAGAATATATTTTTGGTGGACTAAGCCTTTTCTGGACGACCAACGGTTAGTTGACTATTGGGGGGCAGCCCTACTTTTATCACATCAGAGTGTCACGTCACAGCTATTTTTTTCTTAAATCGCAAAGCCACTCAAAAACTACTGAAATGTCAGATTTGGCCTGTGGTCTGCTGGTTGTTGAACCCTTGGTTTAAACAAATGAATGATGCTGGTCTCCAGAAGCCCATTAGATAAAACCATTCAAAGCTTTCACCTGTCCTTTAATCTGAGCGTAGATGAGCGCCCTCTGACCCTGGAACAGAGTATTGATGGGTGGGGACAGCATGTCCACCGTCACGCCTTCAGGAACGGTCCAGTCCACAGAGATATTATCCACGGCCGGCTGGAGAGCAAACCTGAGCGACTGCATCACCTGACGGACAAGAGAGGCTCGTAAATAAACACCCTAAACATCTTGCACTGACTCTATCCAGTCTGTTTCCACAGCAGGTCTTACTTTGGGCTGCATGCGGTCAGTGCCTGTGATGAACTGAGCGTGACCAGAACCTTCTCTGGCCATTCCTGTGATGAGAGCCGTACTCGCACCCTCACCGATCCCGAAGGAGAAGCACCTGCAGACACAAGAGCAGCTCCAGAGCTGACCGCCTGACATGAGATCAGTAAATGAGGAGGACTGAGACGAGTGAACACACCTGTGAGAGTAAACGTGACTCTTCACCAGATCCAGCACTTCCTTAGTGTTCCACACCTCTCCATCAGTGAAGATGAACAGCTGAGAGAGAAGAAGAGAGAGTAGTAAATGATCTGTTTGTTTTCCTGAAGGAATCTGTGAGAGCGTGGGTGTGCTGGCCGTGCTGAACCTGTCGAGGGTGATCTGGGTAACAGGGCTGACTGTAGATGTGTTTCAGAGGCTGTAGGATCTCTGTGCCGCCCATGTCTGCGCTCATGCTCTTTACTCTCTTCAGAGCCTCTTCCATCGTGTCCTCGCTGTACACAACACTCTGACTGCAACGACACACACCACAGTCTCTCACAAAACCACAGCTAACCCACATGAAATCACTCCTGAAGAATAATTAACATCTAGTCACTGACGGAAAGAAGGACTCAAAGTGAGATCCGAATCCATAGATGTTGAAGTAGCATCCCATGGGCAAACTCTTCAGCAGCAGCAGCAGAGTGTCCTGGAGAGACACACGCACAGATGAGCACGCATGACTCAATACACTCTAATTAATGTGTCATATCTGAAATCCTAAATCTTACTCTTGCACTTTCGATGCGCATCTGTGCGTCATTCCCATGATGCATCTTGCAGTCCATACTGCCTGATCTGTCAACCACAAAAATGAACTCGCCCTGAGACGCCAGTGATGACATCACATCCGCAGGAAACTCTGGGTACAGACTGATCATGAGCGCCGGGTCGCCCATCAGAGACCCTGAAACAAAGAGCTGTGTTACACTGAACAACAGTCTCGATCCTGCAGAGCTTCCTGAACAACTCAAGCCCCGCGTCCCAACTCACGCACCACCCGCCCTAAACATCGCAGATCAGTGCACAACCTTCTAGAATAAAATTTATTATTTTGCTGTAGATAAAATCTGCATTCTTTGATCAAACAGTAAGATATGAACACCATTATAAGTATACTTACACCAAACTGAATTCATAGGCAAACAAAAGCATCATATCTTGCATGTTTCACTAAGATTTGCACTGGATTGTTCAGAGTTATACCTGACTGAGCCGCAGACGCTGCTGCCTCAACTACAGCAGAGG